TTTTTTGCACCAACTGCAGGTGTTTGTCCAAAGTTGTTGCTCCAGGCGCAATCTTTTATCACATTGTTGTTTAGTTCAACACATTTCAGACTGGCTTCAGTTCTACTCATCCACCAGCTGCAGGTGTTTGTCCAAAGTTGTGGCTCCAGGCGCAATCTCTTATCACATTGTTGTTTAGTTCAATACATTTCAGACTGGCTTCCGTTCTACTCACTCCACTTTCTGTCACAATCGGCTAATTTATATCTTCCTTGTTTGTAACTGAACACTCAGCTTGAGTTTAGAACAAGGTTTGAAAGATCATAATACACTTTGCGTTGGCCTTGACCCTACCAAACGCCATTACCAGAAGGCAGAGACTGTGTTTACTAGTCTGATACCCGTGCAGCTAATTTGTGGCATTGAGTGACTGTGATATAAGGATATTCGCCAGCTCCACGTTCAGTCACCAGTGACCTCATGACGGGTGTGAGAACTTCCGTCACACTTAGATGAAGGCGAATTTGTCATACAAAGATAACTCACTCATTTTTCTGACTGGTGCGTACTATTTGGCAAAGTACAAACAGAAGCTTTCGAAAGCCGGTCCTTTTTTGGTCCGTGATATTCGAACCCAGTTTCCTGATTTTGTTCATCTCGTTAGAAATTAACGTAGAATAGGAAATACATTTTCTTAGTTAGATTTTTAAACCTTCATGCCCTCTGCTGTATCCTTCTTGGAGAAGCTGTAGCCAATCGTTTTGAAGGTGCTGCTCTGTGATTGGTTAGTTTTGTTAGCCTGGTTAGCGCGATAAAGTTATACTACTGGTCTTACCCCATAAAATCATTCTGATATATGATCAGAACACAATTTTCTGGACGATGTTCGTCAGTAACTCATCCGCTGAAAAAGCAGCCTTGCTGTAATGGAAAGCTGGTAGGAAATGTCTGCCCTCACATTTCATCCATTCTTGCGTAATCGCTTGAGACAAGTTCCTAGATCACGGTTCTCAGTGAATGGGATTGTACGAACACACTTGTGATCACCGAACCTGATTAAGGCTGTTTGATTTCATTAAAAGAATTAAAAAAACAATATTTCGTCAAGGTTAAACATGTTACCAATGTGGACAGGAGGATGACATCCGCGGCAGTAATCTGTGGCTGGTTGTGGCGTCCGTTTGGGGCACTGCCGCTATGCAACTTGAAGGAAGGGGCCAGCCTAGACAAGATTCATAGAAGGATGCGTTCCGGATTGTGGTTTAAACTTCCAACTGTTTCGGACACCTGATTTAGGGCCGAGAACCACTTGAATTCAAAGGATAACCAATGGGATGAAATTCAGAAAACTGAGGCGCCTCAGTCAATTTTGTCCCTTTCGCTAAAATCTGTATGGTGTATTCGGTGGACATCATTGTTTTAAGACGGTGGTGAACGCGTGTGTTTGACCTTGACCTTAATAAGTAAGTAAAGTCTCCATCCGCAGGGGTGAAACCTATTGTAACGTGGTTGCCAGCCTTATTGGTGGTATGACGTCTGGATTCATCACGTGAGACGCGAGTATGGGTGGGAGCACGAGGCAGGGGTGCAGGGACCGCATCTTCACACTGCATAAAAAACCAAAAGATCTTCCTATTTTGGTCCAATTTTTCATTGACACCATCATGTTGTGTGATGTCCAACGAACCACGAATCTGGGTGTTGAAATCACTGATGAAAAAGGATGGATACAGTTCCATCAGGAAGGTCAGAGCAACCACTGAATGCTCAAAGTCTACCGAGACTCTCAGCTCCGCTAGATGCTGACCAGGCAGACAACGCCCCCCTCAATAGGCAGCGCCTCACAGCCCCGTACCAAGGCCAGACCGCATTCGTCAGCATTGGACCAAGTTAGACAGCGACCGTTGTACTTTTGCACTCGCACGCATTCACGCCCTCGCACTCGCTTGTTCGGAATATAGCGGTTGTGTTCCCCTCTGTGAGTCTTTTTTCCGTTACTAGGCGGTGGAGCGGGTTAGCAGTCAGTTTCAGCAGATTGGCGAATCAGCAGATATAACAGCTTCGACTATACGGATGGTACTGTTTTGTTATCCGACACTTGGTGTAAGGAGGAAAGCACTTCATCGCCAAGCCATTTTTTCACTAAAAAATACGATTCTAAACAATTGGACAGGAAAGTAAAAATCTCATATGCATCTTATTTGAAAAAAAACTGAACATTTTTACGCTTCTTCTCGAACTTTCGTAGATATTCATTGACTATCACGCAACTGTGAACGAAAGCTGCGAATCAGTTTCCCAGGCTCCGCAACATTAGATGTGAGGCGAGAAAACCACATACTACTCGCATGTCCCGTCAGTAGTTTTCGCCGTTACTCACCTTTTTCCTTTGAAGGTCGCTTGAATGCCACTGATTTCCATTTACACCGTTAGTTCGGCGTCAGCAGCTGGTCTATTCGCATTTCTCACCAGTAGTATCCACCGTTACACTGGTCTCTGTTTCAGCATACTCTTCAAAGTTCAAAGCTTTACTTTAGAGTTTCCCACTCTCCTGCACCCGTTTAAAAATTCAGGTGCTATAGCTATGGCCACAGTGTGTACCAAACGATGTCCGCGCACGCTCCATCAAGACACGAGCCACAGTCTTCAACGTGCGTCACCATAGGGGTCTCCGAGGCCGCCACTATGGCTATCGGACTTGGCATATCCGATCGGAATATCACCTTTGTCTTTCAATGAAACCGTCGTAGGTGAGTATCAGGTACTGAGTCGGATTCACTAGAGCAATAGATAGGGTTTAGCAGCATGCCGGGCCACCTTCTCCTTGATGAAACCATGGTTTACCCTGTAAATCTTTGCCGGTTGAAGAATCGTTGAGTGCAGTTCATGACTTGGGAACGTGAAATGAGAATGCTCATCCTCAAGTGGAGCACTGTGGGATCTTTTTGCCTACCGGTGAAAGGAAGACGGCCTTCACTGCGGAGTTATTTATTAGAAAATGCCAACTGACCAGTTACAGACTATTGGATAGGGAAGGAAAACTCTCATTTGGATCTTATTAACAAAAACTGAACATCCATCTTCTTGACGTGTCTTCTTGAACTTTCCTGGATATTCATTGACTCAAGTCATTCATTGCTCAAATCCAAGCAAATGCTACAAAGCGACTCCACAAATTCTGCAACAGATCTCCCTTTTTAAGAGACGCGAATCAAATTTACAAGAACAACACATGCTATTTGCATGCCTCCCCCGTTATACCGGTATGGGGTCCGCATGCATCCTGCATACGGTCAGTTGTGACACGCAGTCGATCCTAGTAGTGAACATGTTGTCACTTCCTAACTGTCATTCATTGCTCAAATCCAAGCAAATGCTACAAAGCGACTCCACAAATTCTGCAACAGATCTCCCTTTTTAAGAGACGCGAATCAAATTTACAAGAACAACACATAGCGCTCCCTTCAACATCTCCCCCAAGCTCCTTTTTTCATCAAGAAAATGCGTGAAACTTACTCACTGTCCCAGATGTTCAAAATGGAACCGAAATAGCAATCGGACCTCAAATATACCAGGCTTATGAAAGACTCTCCTCCAGTAACCATCAGTAACCATCAAACCTATTTTGACGTTACGTAGATGACACTTTGGTTGGTGTGATCGGTGGGTTTTATCGTGAGCCGAGTCCTCACGTCAAATTTGGGCTTTACTGCAGGCCAGGTGACACCGGTTCCCCTTTTTAAGAGTTCCGCCTGCCAAGCATTCACGTTTAGCTGAGTAGCGCCTCCGAGCACAAAAGAAGAGGGACAAACAATAGCCACTTTGGACGTTGTAGGCAGTCAATTAACTGGAAGGTGTCACCTATCGAGAATATGAATATCACATCCACACTCAATAGAAAGTAAATTGGGATAACCGTTTTTCTGCATATTCTGTAGGCAGCTGAGTCCGTTCGAAGGGTCCCAAAGGAGAGCAAAGTCTTGTATAGAGAAAACACTGCTGGTTTAAAATGGTATGACTAAGGGGCTGCCTCTCAGCAGCTGAAGCCGTGGAATGTGTTTACGTGTACCATGGCCTGAGAAAAACCCAGAGAATTTCACCCCGAACTAGGAGAGCTCAATCGAAAGGTGCACAGCGTGGCTAGTAAAAACGGATATGGTGCACTGGTCAAACTCAGCGACGGCGAGATGCGCACTTGAGAAGGGACACAAAACGAAACTGCAAAGTTTGTAATTGTATGGAATATTCCAAGCTCAGTGTGTAGTGATGCGTACGCACTAGCTCTCACAACGCATTGGTGATATCACTTCAATTGCAGGTGTTTGCAACCAAACCAAATCACCCAGCTCAGTGAAGAAACCAAAGGCCAAAACATAAATTACTGAGATTTTTCAACTTGCCAAGCATTCCAGTGGTATCATAATAGGAGGCGTAGAATGATTGAGCGTGTGCATAGCGGTTTAAGATCAACTGAGCTGACACATGACAATGTGCGTTCATCACTAAAGAAGAGCAATCAACAGAAGTCGTTTGGTTCTGCAATTAACAAATCCACATAGCCCATCCTCCCCATTTAATTTAGCCTAGTACTCACACAGACTAACAAAATTCTAAACGACGTCCAAGAGAAACCATAGACTGAAGTGTTGTTAACCGGAAGAAAATGGCCTCAAATACGACCCCGATTGGTGTTAAAACCCACTCCACCCCACCAGACGACGTAATACTCTGCCACAAACACCACCCAGAAAGAAGTTTTAATTGTCACTCAATACCGATTTGGTGCACTGGTCAAAAAGCAGTGTTGTTGATTGGTTCCTCGTCTTTTTTAATACTCGACCAAATTAGCAGCGTGCTCATTTGGTGTGACAAAGCTTTCATCAACTACTCACCAGATGTTTCTGGGATAACGTCCCTCATATCTTGGACCGTTGAGAAGAACCCTACGCAGATGTAAGGTAAAACTTTTTTCAAATAGCGGATTTTCTGCTCTGAGTAATACTCCTAATTGTTGCCCTCAGGTTATCCGGTTAGATTGATACTTTTTGTCACATTCTTATTTATTATCCGATACGATTTGCTCGGCCAGCTTCAAAACACCACGGAGAACCTGAACAGTCGAATCGAGGCGTCAGAATCCCGTGTTCGTACGTTGGAGCAGGAAAGATCTTATGACCTCGAAGCCACAATGAACAAATTGCAAGAGGAACAGCAGCGGTAAGAATATTTTAGTTGAAATAAATTCATTCTAGTTCTTATGTAGCACAGCTGTTTACGTGTCACATCCGCTAACAACCCGATGACCAGTCACTTGAACTGTCTTAAGTCCTTAAAAGTGCTGTGAACCGCGGTTGGATTATTGACATTTTGATGGAATGAGGTCAAGTTTATTTCCAGCTTTGGTCCGGATCCGCCAGACATCCGACACGCTGCACTCCATTGGGACTCGCTCGTCGACAGAACCAACGCGCGGTCTAATTGGCCGTTTCTGATTGGCGGTTTTTGATTGGCTAGAGATGGTTGCACCAATCACTGCTGCGTCAGCCACATTGGTGCAGTGACGCATGCACCGCTTGCGCGCGCACGTGACGGGACCTCGTTATGCGTACGTACCATCATCCGCACCGCAATGGCATGGGCGGCTGAGCGTTCAGTTTAACCTCGGGGAACCAAACGGTGATCATCACTCACAACCAAATAGCAGGCGAAACAGCAAATAAGTTCAGTACACAAGGTACAGCACACACAAGGTAGTGAGTGAAATAGAGTCGAGCTGGAAGGTTCCGACTTGGACGAGCTGCAGCTTTGAACGGGGTCTCGGTTGCTGAAGACGCGGAAAGAAAGTATGCTGCACGAAACCATCCGCACTCTGTGCTGCAAGTCCAAATAACTTGTTGTTAATGCAAAAGTCTGGGATGAGTGCATGTTACAACACCACTAAGCGCTGAGTTGATACTGGTGAGAATGGAATGCCCAAGATGTGCTTCCAGGCAATGGACTGTAGCATTTTGAGAAAATGTGCATTGTAAAACCTACTCGATTTCATGAGTGTACCGCAAGAAGTGTTGGGTGTACAGGTAAGCCGTAAGGGTTTCATAATTATCCTAAGATATGAGCTTATACCGTGACCTTTGTATTTCTCAGTCATACTACTGAGCAGTTATTTTCACAGAAAGACAAAAAACAACGTTCGATACACATGTAGTAAATAGTCCGGCGGGCCGCGCTACAGATTAAGGGTAATGTATTCCATGTCTCATTCTGCTCTCACTCAGCAGAGAACATGTGCGTCACAAATATGAGCAACGTACAATCTACCAGAGTCCTGGTCTAGTGAAAGATAATTAATCCTGATTGTGGAACTTTTTTCAATTTCCATCATTTTATTAGCCTCAAATTTTTTTATTGTGTATTTCATGCCATGCTCCTTTATCTGGATGGTGCCACGAAAAGCGTAGAACGTTTGCGCAATTTCTATACGTGTTTTCAATTAGGGAAACTTCCGTCGAGCTGTAAAGTCGTTAAGTGCATTCGTGTTCTCCTGGAGAGAACAGTGACGAGGTAATCGGGTACTCGTTGATGTCAACCTGACGAGGCACTGTTGTGAATTGTGCGAGTCAAATGGAAAGCATTTAGGTTGACTGGGAGATTGTCTATCCCAACGTTAATGTTCCACGGATTTTGTCTTCAACCGGATAAAATCGATTCCTCCCAGCTTTTTAGTGTGATTTACTCATCAGTTGCACCATACTTGTTACAAAGGTACTGATATATGCACAACACTGGGAGACTGGTTTCTGGCACATCACTAAACGATCGAATGGGGGTAAAAGTACCTCAAAAGTTTACCAAACTTGAATGGAAGCTGGGACGGAAGTGGTCTTTTGAACAAGGCGTCTAAGTGCATCCAACTGATCTGGCGACAGATGTTTTTGTTTTTCTTTGGTCCTGAAAGGAAAAAGGAGCAAGCAGTTAGTATAAGAGCCACCTGCTACCGGGAATTTAAGATCTGTCCAGAAGGCCTCCGTTTCATAAGAAAATGGAGAGAAGCACTTTCATCGTCACACATTTTGGCTTTACAGTGGAGTTCAAACTCGAAATACAGCGAAGCTCGTGGGCAGAGACAGCTAACTGATCTTTTCCAGATGTGATGTGATTGGTCCACGGTCTCCCTCGGTTTCATTCGCTGGGAGGCGAAACAGCCAACAGGTTACGTGTCGGTAATGTTTCAATGATTGTCCAATGCACTTTATGTAAGCTATTCGTTTTTTTTTATCTCCGATTGTATTCGAGTAAGGAATGATTCTCATATTTCAAGGAATGCTGAACTAACGCGAACCAATGAAATGTTGCGCGAACAACTGGATCAAGCCATCCATGCTAATGAAGGCCTGAGCCAAGATGTAGCTCGACTGACGTTGGCCTGGCGACATGCTGCCCAACAGCTGGACAAGCGCGAAGCCGAATGGAGGGAAGAAGAGAACGCTTTCAATGATTATTTTGCAGCTGAGCACAGTCGTCTGTTGGCACTGTGGCGGGCTGTAGTTGGTCTTCGACGTCAGTTTGGTGATTTGCGGCAGGAAACCGAACGCGATTTGACCCAGGTGGGAAGTCCTTATCATGACGCCTTTAATTTACACTTTTATCTTTCTCGGCTACATATTTTTCGGTAACTCGGCGTCAAACTGATAGACAGGAACCGCTTTTATTGTTTGATGCTCGTAGTTCCAGCACCCGTCATTTGTGAAAGCTTTTTAGGAGACCACGGTGACGTGCCATGTGAGGTGCCGCGAAAAAAATTATAAAATTGTACTGCATCGCATAAAGAGTTTTTTCCGACTATCACGTATCGGTCGTGTCGTCATCCGACAAGGGTCACGAGTAACGTCAGTCTCGCAAGTCAGCATTGCGAGGTCGAGTGTCCGAGGTGAACAAGACAAGGTAGCCTGGAAACATCACAAACGAGAAATTCAGCTGGGTTCCAGATGAGTCTTCCGAAAAACCAAATTAGTTTGCAAATGAATGTATATTCGCTAATTTCGTGCAATTTGGTTTCAATTGGAACATAAGGTTGACGGAAGCGCGGGGACTGCGCCTACCTGGTAAGCCGCAAAAAGGGCGAAACCGGTCGTGAGCTGTTGAGGAATTTTCAGCAACCTTATGAGTAGTACATTACAAAGACAAGGTAGCCTTGAACTTCGCCACGTCAGAACTCCTAATAGCAATACAGACTCACCAATCAGTTTGGTTCAAATTTTATCCGGTGGTCGTCAAATTCCAAAGGATAAAAGAGGCTGTAGGCTGTGGTGTGCTTTCGAGGCCCGACCGATCATTATACGTCAGGACTTTATGCACTGCTCAAACTGGTCGTTAAATTGGAGTCCATTGACTTAGCACAACTTCGAGTTACTTTCGGATAATATGTATTATATATATATATTATATAATATGTATTATTTGTAATTCTCCAATTTCCGCGTACTTTGAAACCAACGCGTCTTTCTCTTTCATCTCCATCCTCCGCACCTACGAAACAGGCTCGAACCGAGTTGTCACGACATGTGCAAAATCTGCAATCTGTTTGCGGCAACCTCGAGGCCAATCTACGAACGGCTGAGGCAGAGTCACAGGCAAATGTTCGTCGGGAAACGAGACATGCCAGTGTCCTTGAGGCTGAGGCTGCCGATCGTGTGCGCAGCCTGACGGAATCCCTGGCGCGCAGCCAGGCGAGGTTGGCGGAGACTGAGAACAAGCTGGCCGAACTAGCTTCCGCTAAGGAGCGCCTCACAACGCAGGTAGTTTTTGTTATTATCTTGAAACCTCTTCAATACACTATGTTACGTTTGTAACGGGCAACCGGTATCTTCGAGCGACGTGTAATACCAGAATCTTCGGGAAGGCAAACAAAGTCGGAGCTAGGTTTCTATTAATGTAAGACAAATTCATAAATTGTACAAGCCTCGACAGTAGATACTCGTCCAAAACAAATGGTTCACTTGGACTACAAAAGTATGAACCAAATAGGCTCCCACGTAAGACACGTGCACAAAGTCGGCCACCAATGGCTGGATGACCTCAAGGTCAAACGAGTGAAGTGGTGGGGGAAAAAACGCACCAAACACAAAAGTGGAGCGGGGTTACAGATAGGGGCAGAATAAACGGGCGCTCGGTATTCGCACAACGGAATTGAATTTTCGAAGGTTATGACGTATCCCTGATGGACTTAAGCAGTCGTCGAAACTTTTAAGCCCCATTTAGACATCCCGGGGTCGCAGCGATGCTGGGAAATTATCCCAATGCTTTTCAACCAGAGGTATGGTTGCTTCAGCGAACAATGAAATTTGGTGAGCTGCAAAAATATGAACGAAGATTGGGACGGTCTTTGGTTTGAGCACATACGCGACAAAATGCAACATTTTTGCGTAGGAAGTTTCATTCCATACGTAAAAGTTTTGCGGCTGAGAGCATTCTGCCGATAATGGGCACCAACAAACGTGGGAAATTTCAAGTGTCAACGTAATGACTGATACACCACCCGCCAACTTCTCCACGTCGACTCAGCGGACGCCCCGGTTCTTGCATTCTACCTATGCTCAGCCCGTTCTTAAGGTACCCCATCAGCCACCGACACGAGTCCACTCCTGCCACAAGTGCCGACTTCGATGGAGTACAAGTAAGCAGTAAGCATAGCCTTCTAATATCCCTCCTAAGAACTCAGGCTAAGTGACTTTTAGTGTACTTGGAAAGCAGTCATAAAACCTATACTATAGTAGTGTTGAGTATCCGTCGCCACTACCTGATCACAGTAATTCACGCATTATTTTTGTCCTCACCTTGAAGTACTTCACACGGATCGATGCATTTACTTCAAAACAGTCTCGGGCCAATGTAAGTAACCAATCCGTAGACAATGATGATAAATCGATTGCGCCCGCAAGGAGATTTATGCACAGAGTTGAAGCTTAAAAGGAAATCAGTAGTAAGACTTATTTGCAGATTTCAAGACAGGTTACTAAACCACTCTCGAAAATTTTTCTTTCATCCTTACGTAGCTTGCTGATCGTGATCGCATCTTGAACACACTGAGTCAGCTGCGTTCGGGGATCAGCCTGGGAAAGAAGTACACCAAAAAAGGGAGGCGTGGTCGCCCGGAGTCGGAAACATCTGGCGATGAAGAGCACGATACAACCACGATCAGTGAAGATGGAGAGGATCATTTACGAGCCACAAAACTGTTGATTGAGCATACTCACGTGATGCACCAGGCCTTGAGTCAAATCGCGCAGGTAACTGAAATCTGATCGCCTGTTTGCTTTGTATTGTAGCTCACCACAGACTTCCAATTATCATGCATTCACTAATAGCCAAAGCTTGCACATCTGCTCTAAAGTAAATCAGATTGCAACCAGCCTGGCTGTGAAGTCACATGGGCCCGATGAACTGCTTTCAAATGATACACTATCCCAGGCCGTCCAATTGCGTCCACGTGACTTTCCGGCTTTCAACTCATCAACTCATTCTGTCTCTGAATCATAGAGTTCTAATCACGTCGCTGTTAAACCCATTTTATTGATTGCTGACTCTGTTGCCTTCTGATTGGTTCTCTCTTAATCATGTGTTTTCTTTGGCCCCTCGCTTCCGCAAACACATACATGCGCATGTTCTGTCAGGAGACGTCAGAAAGAGGCACTCGTTTTTTCCTTCTGTGCCTCGCTTCAGGGTAGAACAGTCGGATTTCTCATAGTTCTTATTCAAAGCAGCTTTTGTTGTGATTAAGTGGTCAGAAAACTGCTAAAGTATGCTGCTTTCTAAAGGGGTGCGAAACACTATTGAAGCCAGTCTAAAGTCAGTGCAGTGCTCAGTACACTGTCATTTAGCACTCAATACACAGATCTCGGATCTTATCAGAGGGATATTTACCCTCGTCTCACCTTTACAATGTCGAAGAGCATTTTCAACCGCGTACGAGATTCTGACCAACAGGCAGCAAAAATGTCTTAATTGGTACACATTCCTACCCATGTGTAACATACTGGTGTAAGTAAAAAATCCGTTCGCCACGAAGTTGGTTAATAGCGGACACCAGCTGAACAGTTACAAGCCATTAGACGGGAAAGTAAACATCTCATATGCACCCTGTTTTTAGAAGATGACATCCTCACGCGTCTTCTAGAACTTTCGCAGACATTGTTGACTATCAAGCAACTGCAAACGAACGCTGTAAACCAGTGCCCTACGTTCTGCGATGAACTCCAACTTCCACTAGGCACGATGCGGAGTTAAGAGAAACCCACATACTACTCACACGCTTCATCAGTAGTATCCACCGTTACACTGGTGCCACCAAATATTTTGGAGAGGAACAGTTATCTCGTTAGAAGATATGCGATGCCTTGTCGGAATGCGGTTTCTCTTACCTACGGTTCATTAAAGAATCAAATGTGAGGAAATAAACCACTGATTCAATCAGATCATGCTCTTCCATCTGAGAATCGTTATTCTTGGCAGAAGCAGCTGCCTGAACCGACCAGGTAGCACCCGCCATCATCACCAGATATCATTCCTTTCGTCTGATCACCCCGGTGCTTTCTGACGCTTGTATACTTTTAAATCCAAGGTTCCCGGACCAATGTCTAATCTCGTTTGGACGGTCGTCTTCCAGTTCTGGCGTAATTATTCCGGTGGGTTCACACCAAAGGGAGGCACTGGACTCGAGTTTCGCTCTTATTAGAGCTCATCAGCATATCCAATAGCCGTGCCAGCATTTGAATTAAGGATACTTGATATCCCGATCAATACAACCAAGACAGTTACTGGGTCATCGTTCGAGGAGACCGGAAAACCAATCACATCGTTCAAACGCGAACACGTTCGCCCTTTCAGAAGTGATAATCTACGTCGGAGGTGCGCTGGGGGATAGAGGTTGCACGTTCACCTCGCATATCAGTATCCGAGATTCATCCCCAGGCAGGGCTTGGCAGCACTGCTGACGAGCTATAATCAGAGGGAAACTCGATTCCAGTACTTCCCCACTTCGGTATGGACTCACCAGAATAATTACGCCATGACAGAATAACAACTGTTCAGATGAGAGTGATGTAAGCACATATCTTGCAAGTCCCAGAACCGATATCAAATTTCTAATCCCCAGAAACGACTTGAGGGACCCGTTCCATAAAACGAGTCCTTGTTTCATTGCTTACGCCTACTACACCGTAGTAATCCCCACCAAGAATTGCTGGGCACAGTCCGTGTCATATCCCTGAGTTTTCCTGCTGCCGCCTCGGAAGAATTACCTGGGAAATGTGTTAATCAAACACTTCCTCGATCAGATTTTGTTGCAACATTGCTTTTTCTGGCAGCTGTGCGATTCCAGCGTTGAGAGATCATGGGAGCTTTTCTTCGGTTTGGCCAAATGAACAAGTACTTTACACAAGTCTACGGCGAAACTTATTATTGAGTGGCCATCAGAGGAATGACTTTGGAGCACTACTGAATCCTCCAGCACCACACAAGTTGAGTGAAGCTCGGGAGTTCACTAACGCCTTTCAGCACGCAACCTCATCTTTCGGAATTGCCGTGCACATCAAAGTGAGCTCAGTCGTAAAGTCAGTGAACATGCTTGCGGATGACTGGGATGTTCTAAGTTGAATAAGAGCCTAGGTAATCTATAGGAGAAGGGATGGTCACCAATACATAGGTAGAAAAAAACATCATAAACGAGAGATTCAGCCGGGTGAGTCTCTCGTCAAAACCAAATTGGTATGCAACTGAGTACCTTTCGGTGATTTCGTTCAATATGGGTACAATTAGAACATAAGGTTGACGAAAACTTGGGGAATGCACTTAAGTGATGAGTCCGAACTGGAAGGGGGAAACCGGTCGTGGGCTGTCGAAGAGTTTCCAGCAACCTTGTGGATAGTTTCCTTTATGGAAATACACTGCAATATCTAGAATATCGTGCCAACTGAATCATGAGGCGGCCTGTGTGCAGCACATTCAGTTGTAGAATATCATAAACGAGAGCTTCAGTTGAGTCTCCCGTGAAAACCAAATTGATCTGCAAATGAGTGTATTTCTCGAAATTAGGACTGTCTTATGAAATCTATGAAGAAGATTTTTAAACCCACGAATTTCTTCGTTTCACGCCAGCTGGTTCTTTTTGGTAGTCCTACTTGATGACGAAGACTATTGATAAAGTGGTACCGGTCTTGGTGAGTGTTGTGGCCACACAATTTCGCACCTCACAAGAATGCAACAATTTGAGTTGAGCTACTTCACAAGTTATCGGATCTATTAAATCAGTAAACACTTGCAAAACCCTACCGAAGATTGGAGTTTTGAAGACAGAAGTTGATGACCGTTCCCACGTTTGTATTGTATTGAAACTCCGATAAAACAAGGGCACATTTATGCGCATTTGTACGCCTCGATGAGAAAGCGCGTGGACATTCAGATCAGAGGAGGAATAGAATCTGAACAGTTCCGCTTTATCGATCCGAACATCCTCTATTCGGACGGTCGAATAATTTGTTTCGTACAGCAGAAAGCGGAAAAGCAGAGGAACTGTCGACTTTCGCCGGCCATTTTAAGTGATGTGTTTGATACTTAAGAGGGCATCTCAATGTTCGGCTCTGTGGTCTGAGTAGGTCTGGGAATGAAATTCGGAACCTGCGTCTAAGGATAACCACCTGAATACCAGCTCGGTCCCGAAATCTGAACCACAGGAGATGCGTAATTCGTTCCGCTTTTTCCTCATTCAACTTTCTTTTCCCAACTGAGTTTGGGATCATTTTTACTCAAGAATGGTGAGGAAAGGGAATAGTCTGGTTGCCTTTCTTATGAACAGGTCAGGGTCACGTGACATAGTTATATTGGTCCCTATCATCTTCTTAGTGACTGGCTACCGCATTTATCCCAGATTTTCTCTAAATACATTGCAACTCAGTAAGATTTCGCTACCGGAGCTCTAGATATCGTTCACCTCTGGTTCAAAGAAGTTCAAAAATGACTAAATCGTTTTTTCGGGTATTTTCGATTTATGAAACGAGCTCGTTCCATTCAACTGTTGAAATTTTGTCTATCCTTTTCCAGTTGGTCATTACGGACTCTGTCGTCGCGGATTCAGATGAGGTGGAAGAGCCATCACTGGTCCTGCAACATCCAGATTGGTCACTTGGTCGCGATTCCACCCGATCCTCGGATCACAAGACCGCGAAATCCGAGGATGACAAGACCAGACCAAGATCCAGTTCTCCCACGCGGACGGTTGACTTTCGTGAGGACGTTGAATCTGATCAACAGGCTTATAAACTTTATGGTATCACACAAGGAGATATCGCTCAACTAAGGCGTCTTGCTCAATCAAAGTACAAGGCAGGCTCCAGCTTGCATTTGGCTGAGTCTACCGTGTCTGCCGTCCAGATGGCTTTGAACCGAAGAGCTGCTCACGTAAGTTATCAGGCAGATTAATGAATATAAAGGACGTGTCACAGACATTTATTTTCACTCTAAGCCTGGGACTGAGCTTCGTTGTATTCCAGGAACTGGTATCATTGAATTAGGCGAATACAACTTCGTGTAAAAGTCAGCTCAATGTAGAGGTCGCCTAACAGAACAAAACAGAACACGTTTTCGAGCCAGTTGGCGTTGGCGTTCGAGGAACTTTAGTTGAAAAAGGGTGATTATGGAAACTTGGCGGCCAGTTTAGTGAATAACAGTAAGACCAGAGGAAGGGTAGAAGAAAGCTTCCCGCTTTCCCGAATTTTAACTACTTCTCTTTTACCAAATCACGGAATATGTGTTTGCCCTTACTACATTGAACCTGGTTAGTTTGATGTTCTGTCTATCCATCAACGGTTTTTTCGGTCATGACTTCAGGTTCTAACAATGACGTATGCTCTCCTCTTCCACTGGATTGCTGTCCCCAGAGTTAAGCTTATTTAACTGGGATCATACTATGACGGGAAGTACAGAATGGCATGGCGCTCGACTAAAAAAGCCATCAACAAACACATCGAAATCGACCCAGCCTGTCGATCACTGCAAGCAAAAGAACCACGGAACTACAGAACTACGCAGATGAGGACAGACTAAAACAGACACAATAGGGTTGAATCAGGCTGAAGTAAGGAAACTGCCAAAAATAGAAACTACCACCTCAACCAACCAATTTCAAGGAAGAGACACCACAACGTAGCACAATCCGGGAATGGATCAATTAAAAAGGGACCTGCAACCCCCAAAATAGCCATCTGACCAACCAATGGAATACGAGGCATACAAACCACAATGCAGCGCAAGTAACGATCGACGCAATAATACTACAAGTAAGGTATATACCAATTAGCCGATCACATGACAAGATATTGGCTACTCTTCAAAAACTATATAAATGCAGCTAGGCACGCTAGGAAGAAATGTTAGCAAACCAATTGCCAAGCTCGGCAAAAAGATCAGCCCACAGTAAAAACCTACGAGCTACCCATATTTCGACAAATCGACAGCATAGCTTTCTTATGCGTGTTGAAAATCAATAACGGTGTAAGGCTCACGTCACATAATCTGGCGTCGGCTCGCCTCCCGATTTACGCGCAAACATTCCAAGTGGTTGGACAAAGTGGAGCTCACTATGACCATCTCTCTGCCGCGAAGACCAGACGGAAAGCTAACAAGTGACGCGGGCCTTTCAGCTGAGAAGTCATCACTCGAAGAACCAGTCAACACCGGATCACGTGACTTTTGGTGCATGAGTACAGGATGAGTGGATCTTGGTCAAGTTTAATCACTGCTGATTGGGCACATCTGGTAATCAAATGAAAGACTGGGATTTCATATCCGCTTAGAAATTTGCGCGATACAAACTGTTATTGGTTCAAACAAGGACGAACCAGCTGTGTGATGAATCTGGTTGTTTCAACATAGATTGATTTCATTTATGGTGGAACTAATCCTATGGTTCTTAATTGTGGATCAGTTCCTGTTGCAGTGATTACAAACCTGGAAAGTGATATTGCAGCACGTGGCTTTACTCATCTCTGTACACAAGGGAAACCTTCCAACCACATCTTTTCATGAGAGGGTCTAATAAAGCAACATCAATTGTGGTGAATTTCGCTAAAAATTGAAAGCTGACCCCTTTGGGGATTTTCAAAAGTTGTTTCTTCATGTTTCTTCACAGCACCTCACGATGCTGTGACGTCAGCGTTTGATACGTCATTTGATTCGAACTACTGTTCCACTGTTGTTTACTCAGCAGTTTTTCATGCCTCCCAACTGCTCATTTCAATTAAGGTCAAATAAAATTGGACACAGTAAAAGGTTGGCATGAAAGTGGGATGAATTGCAAACAATTCGCTGCAGTCAGTGCATTGTAAACGGAGCCGTTGGAGCCAGTTTATGACTTGGCGATTGAGCACACCACCACTGTGTGGATGAGTTAGTCTTGGCTTGGTCTGTGGAACGTGTTTTGATCTAGAGTGTTCATCATCATCGCTCAATTGAATCTCTCGTTTATGAGTCTCCCGTGAAAACCAAATTGATTTGCAAATGAGTGTATTACCCTTCAAGCTGTTGTAGGTAAACAAAGACAGCCAGCGAGATTGTTCATCTTGCCATAGAAACCGTCCCACCAAAAGGACATGCTACGCCATTTTAAAAGTACAACCCTTCTGAGAATACTCGACAAAATTTACAGCATGGCACTTGTGACGTCACAGGTGCTCTTTTAAACAGACAAGTGGTTTTGCTCTGTAGACTCGTTTCTGAATGTCGCTCTGATTGACAATGTGACTTGCGCTCACAGCAGACAGGTTTTTTTTCTAGAACGACAGACTGAAATCAATTAATGAAAGCAGAACGAACTTGCGATGCCAAAGCGTACCAGACGATCTGCTGCCGCCCGTCTGTAAGGTTTGTGTCCATCCATCACCTTCACCACCACTGTTTGCAGGCGAGGGTGAAAACACTGATAGTCAACGTCAGTTCATCCGCCTCAACACGAAATGCCGTCTATCCGAGGCAAATCTGAACCACGTTCACGCACAAGTGATCAGTCGTTGGAATGGGTCACAAGTAAGGCGAGGGGTGTGTTAACGTCTCTCCGTAGGTGCGCATTTCACCCAAGTCGCATACAAGCATGCATGACTCATAGGCAACTGAGTTGCCATGACACCCGCGTATCCATGTCCGCTTTCCGGCTTACACTCTCAAGCGCGCGCTGGCCATCACTCACACCTCTAAACACGTTCACGTCAGTCTAGGCTGGTTTATGCAAGTGTAACGACAATTGCTTAGCCGGTGTCTGAACGACCGGCGGGGAACAGACTGCTCATTTCACTGACAGCCCTACGCGGTTGCTGTAATCAATAGGCATTAGCGCTGATCAAATTAGCTCGGCATCGTACGGGATAGAACGACAAGTACACCCACAAGTAGAAAAGGTCATTTTACTCCAGGCCCGGAATGTAGTATTTACCAGTAGAAAGTAATATGAATCTTTCCAGACAAGCCCCGCCAAAAAATTAAGCCCCACCAACCAAAAAGGATTAGAAAAAAGAGCATATGGGATTTGTACTTTTAGCTTTTGTTGAAGAGGGTGAAATTGGGACATGTCATTAGTGTCCCGGCAGATCCCTCCGAAAATCCACTGCTGGACTCGACCTGCGTGGTTTTTGCGGCGAGATATTAGTGTTTCATTGATCTCGACGTGTAGATCTGGGTCGCTGATAACTGTTGGAGTCTGCAAAAGCCGCCAGTCGCAAACACCAGGAAGAAAGCCCTTCCAGTCAACAGCGGTCATGTGGCTAATAGATAATTCCTCTGAGCAGAATTTGATTTTTGCCAATTTTTGAACCAGTAATAAATGAATAGAATTACTGTCCTAAACTTCATCTTAGACCGCTCCAGCCAAATTGCCTTTCGAAGACCGATTTCTTGTCGACACTGTCGGGCATTACACCGCCACCCGTCAGAAACGATTGAAAGTGTCATTTGGTGGCCGTTGTTGCATAAACGTTGCTGATGGATCACTCCGTAGCTTTGCGAAAAACGTATTGCCGTCTCTTTGTCATGAGCGAGAGTTGAAAGCGTCAGAAAGTTCATGTAAGGTTTTACGTCGGAACGAAGAAAATTTTTGCACAAAATGAGCCTAGATGAGGATAAGGAATCGTTTTCATCAAAAATAGGTCAAGATTGTGCGCGTACCTTAAATTGAGGCTGGCAAATAGTGACGGGGCTTAACTTTTCGCACATGCACTTTTTGCATTAGTGGCGGGGCTTATCTGGAAAAGATCCACCGGTCGATCTGTCGTACCGATCGTTTCCCCGAGAACCTTGACCTAAGTTGTCAATCATCAGCTGAATCTTCCAAGCGCAACTTTGTTCAGTCATTAAATCTTGTATCGTTGAAGGAAACATCACTGTTATCCATTTGTGCGGAAATGACGATATTTGAATGTCATCAATGTCAAAATTTATGGGAACAAACTTTACGGTTCAGCGACAAATTGACGCAGTTCAGTGGCAGCATTGACAAAGAGACACATGGATTCAGGTTTGGACAATTTTAACCGAGTCAAATCACCAAGCGGTTGTCAACCGATCTTTTTGATCCTTTTCTTTCAACATTACAATTTCGTGAAACCTTGGTTGAGTGGAAAGCTAAATAGTTGTTCCATCAGCAGCCTCCCAAAACACTCTAGAGGGTCTCGAACCTACGGCCTGCCGGCTAGTAGTGTGAACACTTAAAAGTTCGGCTGCGAGCGGTAGATTAGTAGTGTGGTTGACTCATACAAGATTTAGAGCCCCCATTCTTTGAGTCATTGAATCACTTGGTCAAGCGTCGACCGTTTCCTCGGGTGCTGACTTCTCAGATGGAGTTTCAATCAGCGGGTGGGCTTTATCTTTTCCCTGGGCTACTTCACGACTGGCTGTGGTGTGAGAAGAATGGAAATTTTTTGGTGGAGATTTCAACTCAAGATTCAAACTACTAGCCGGGAGGCCGCAGGTTCGAGACTTCTAGGGATCACGTGACATACGCACTGCTGACGATTCCCAATAGGGATGAAACGGCTGTCGAGTGCTTCTTGGATTTTCTGAAAAGCTTTTGACCTCTTGCAGGATGAAAACTCTCTTTACCCTACGGATAAATTAAGGTTTGTCCACCGGATGTGTTTGCAGCGCTTATCCAGTTCCGCTTCATCGTGACCGTTATACTACTTGGCAGTATCATGAACCGCTACCGTGGTCAGCATCCGGGGCAGAAGGAGCGGCCATTTTAATTTGCAACCCAGCGATACTACTCATTGTAGCCCCTCTACTAACACAGAGTATGTTTTTAATTGCATTTCCTCTCTTGAAACCTCTGAGGCGAACCACACCGGTTGGCGTCTAGAGGAAATGCAATTAAAAACATACTCTGTGTTAGTAGAGGGGCTACAATGAGTAGTATCGCTGGGTTGCAAATTAAAATGGCCGCTCCTGCTGCCCCGGATGCTGACCACGGTAGCGGTTCATGATACTGCCAAGTAGTCCAGCGCGTCTTTGTACATTAGACCCTTGAATTAGCGTCTATCACTTGCTTAGAACGATTCCGTTGAACAATCTACCCATATGTTTGCGAGCTAAGTGTTGGACGGGGTTTGTTGAAATAAGAGTTACATATAGGTGTAACACACTACTCACAAGGTTGCTGATAACTCTTCAACAGCCCACGACCGGTTTCGCCCTTGTTGGGTCTCCTCAGCTTGCGTCCATAGTGTGTATTGTGATATCTCAACTGAAACATGAGGCAGTATAGTTGAACAAGAACCTCGTAAACGAGAACTTCAGCTGGGTTTAATGTGAGCCTCTCATGAAAACCGAATTGGTATGCAAATGGGTGTATCTGTCGAAGAATATTGTGTAATTTGAAAAGATATGCCTGGGTCTCGGAAACCTCAGTCACATGGCTGTTCATTCTTATGGTGAATCATCAGTTGATGATAAATTTACCGATAGTCTGATCCATGTATTACCAGTTATTTGCTGTAAACCGACCAGAATTAAAGTCCACAGATTGGTATTTGTCACGTTGAACGGTAGGTGTGAACGATATGGAGGGTTTAGTCAAACTTTACTCAACTTTTGCGGAATACACTCATCTGGTTTTCACGGAATACCATACTTTATTTCAATCCCGATAACTTCTCTTAGGTACACCGGCTGAGATTCCGCACCCAGGCACTTCGTGATCAACTTCAAGCACTGGTTCGCCGGTCAGAGGATTTGGAGAACGAACGTCAGCGGGTGAGCGAACACGCAGCGCGCCTGCGGGAGGACTTGGAAAAACAAACTCTGGAAGTGGACAAGCTGGCCCGTGAGCGAGATCGTATCAAACACAGTTTTAAGTGAGTGGCGGCGGGAGGCATCAATCCAAAAGTTGGGTGTTGAGGTTAAATTGAATTAACTCGTTGTTGTGCGTGTGTAACTAATTGGGGTGAAAGTGGAAACGGGTGTTTTTGTGATGCACTACTCATAAGGTTACTGATTCAGCTGGGTTCCAGGTGAGTCTCGCGCAAATGAGTGTAATTCACCAAACGTGCGTTTCCATTCGGCCATGAACCATGACAGAAATCATTTCATCCCTTGGACAAACTTTGTTCGTTTCACGTCGTTTTCAAAGGGGGGGGGGGTTGAATCTGGCTCATGAAACAGAGATGGAATCTTCCATCGAGGTTACTCAACTTAAAAACGGAGTTTTCTAGAGTTTTATTTCAATGATGCTGTTGGAATCACCAGGTCAGAATAGTCTGATTACTTATCCGAGCACAGCTTGCGCGCATTCTGTTAACCCAGGGCTGTGGAAATACCGCATCCTCTGTTGTGTGGTACAAGGTCTCAGGGACTATGTGTAGATTTCTGAACGTGGAAGTTATGTCGCTGGACTCTTTGGGTAGAAGCTTTTCCGTTCGTTTAGTTAAGACATATCAGAAGAATTTGGTGGGTTACACTCCTGAGGGAAAACTACGAATAGTGGCTGTCGGTTTTGGCTTCCGCATGCAACGATGCGTTAGCCAATGCGCTAACATTTAATTTCCCCACATTCAACTTTGTGTATCTGTCTGTAGCCGCAACTATTGTCTCGGCTAGACAAAGCGTTTTGTGGAACCCGACATTTCAACTGACAAGTGATGACAAGTGACGGCTTATCTCAGCAACTGATACAAGAGGGTTGAATAAACGAGACTGCGGAGTTGACAGTTTTCTTTGAATACCAACTGATGTACAAGTGTTCTCTGCGGAGAGGTGCTCACCCCCTGAAGGGGGTGAACTAGCGAAACGATTCTAAAACGTAGCGTTCAGTAATCTTGACACAGCTACTACTTGCATTCCCACCATAGTTTATCCTCGTTTTGAAACGCATTCGTTCGCGGGTTCCCAACGTGATTTTATTCCCTCTTGACCTTCGGCCCAAGTTATCAAATGTAACCAAGAAGTATGATAAACAACTCTTGAAGAATTCACCAAAATTTTCTCATTTCGAACTAGTGGCTATCAATGTATGCTTGCAAAACCCTCTGCCACGATGAGCAACTCTGATTTTTAGGTGAAGCTAAACAGTTCCTTGGACGAACCGTCAATAGAATCGCCTCACTGTTGCTTCACAGATAATGTGAACTGTGCTCAACCCGGTGTTCTGCCTCTCCATGTTCTGGATGGGAAGAACTTGATCTTTGTGACATTACCTTGCAAGCGCAACGAAGTTGGCTTGACGGATCCAACCATCAACCACTTACTCTGTGGTTGCTGAGTTTGGAGTTCATGCGTATCCGCACGGTAAAAAAGCTAAATTTGCAAACAAATAGTTCCGTTTCACAGAGAACGCTTCAAAATAGAAATTACGGAAAGCGATTCTTCTTTCTGGATACTGGTTAGATAGAGGATTTTTTTGTAAACAGGCGTCGATGTATTCCGGCTAATCTGACATAGTTACAAGCTGGTTAGAAAAACGTTCACCTTCCACGCCATGCTCATTCCCAAATAGCAGTTTCCACTGTTGACTACAGACGGTCCTTCATTTAGGTATCATTGTTTCTGTATGAATGCACTACAAAGTCATAAAGCTATGCTGCAGCTTTTATGCTAAATTAACTTACATTACATGTATTATATATACATATATATATCATGTTATGATTATACCACGTCATACACATCTTGAAAATAAAAAAAATCGTTCAGCCGTAACATCCTTCTGGTGCCAAGCTGCCATACCACCTGAAGGAAGCACGAGGGCTGAGATACTGCCAGGTTGCCCAGGCCTAGACAGGGGAAGTCGAGAGGCAGAGGTTGGGTTCGAACCACCGACCTTCCGATCAGTAATTTCGCGCTCTAACCATTTGAACCATCTCGCCCCCCCCCTCTTGCAAATGTTGCGATGCAGACGCTGTGGAAAACTATTTTCAGCGTCTGTTAAACGCTGACTTTCCGGCGGTAATCCGGCCTCAATATCCACTTTTGCTATCAACTAATCGTAGCTGTGAACTGCAGCGCAAGATAGATCTGGAGTAAGCGGTAGTAAGGAGCATCTTGCTGTGGTGCCACACATCCGTTTAGATTACTCGCACTAGTTCTGGACCAAACAGTGACGTGAGCCCAAAAATCTACACAGATTTCGGATGCATTGGCGGCGGACGTGACGAGACAATTCGTAATCGTAAATGGGGTTGGAACGGTGTTAGGCAGAATTCCACACTGATACCTCTTTACCACTCAAAGTTAGGCGTTACTACGACCCCCACAAGATTGGCGAAAATATCGAGCTGCTCGCCGGTCCGGCACAAGGCGAGCTCTGATTGGTCGAAAGTCTGGACCCAACAGCCACTCACGACCCAGTATTCGCCGAATGCCGGTTGCCAATAGCGGATACAGTCAATGGCGTCCGCAGTTTTAGAATGTTGTTGTGGCATACACTTTATATATAGCGCGCTATACCGGTGTTCTTGACCTGGTTTCGGGCTTTAATATACGTTGTGCACCTTTATTGGCTGTTTTTTGCGGTAACGCTGGGCTTGGAGGCTCAGACCGAGAGCTAAGCCGTGGAAAATACCCTTAGTACAAACAAGGGACGTATTCGATGCACCAGTTGTCTATATGTCAGTAACGTATCAAATAATAGGAAAATCAGCTCCGAACGCAACGGGCCTACAAAACAGCCAATGGAATAACCGTTTTCGTTGAGACAGATTTTATTGATTGTTCGTCACTCGTCCTTAACAGGTAAGTTGTATTCTCAGTATCACTTCATTTCGGCCCGCTTGTACGCAACAGTGATCAATAGATCAGCCGGTTCGCACGTTCACTGACTTTTTCTGGTTTGACCAAGCGCACTAGGCTATCAATCGGCTATCCAGACCGGGGTTCACGGTAATAAGAAGGTGTTAAGGAGACTGAGGTCCACAACACTAAAAATCAGACATTTATTTACAAATTCACAAAGATGACTTAAGAGTCGCCAGAACACTTGGTTGCGCACCAAAGGAAGGAGTTGCTGAAATGTTCGTCTCTGCTGATTGGAGTCTGGTCACAGCGTACATCGAAAGTCCATCCGTATTCCGAGATGTCGGTTTGTCCATCCTGGGTTCCCGAAATGAATGAAATTTTCTAGGCTCTCATCTAACAGCGGTTCAAACTGCTTGATGCGTAGTTCACAACAACCCAGATGTCCTTTCACACAGTTGATTGTCTTCTTTCTTGATCATCTCGGTGGCAACCTCTGGTGTCACGTCTGTAAGAAAACTCCAGTAGTTTACGTCGTAAGCTTGGAAGCCACACGCACTACAAACATGATGCTTTCGTCTGCCTTCACGGTTTTGTTTTGTTTGTTGAGTTGTACTGAGGAAGACATCTTATACTTATCCTCCGAAACGCCTTTTCCTTCCGCCTCATTATGTCCCATTCATCTCATACTTTCATCTCTAGCCTCACTGACGAAGAACGAAAGCTGAGTGAAACCACGAGACACACACTTAATGAGCAACTCCGTGAATTGCAGTCGGAGTTGGAGCGAAATCGGTCGCAACTTCATGATGCGGCAAAACAAAAAGACGAGTTAGCTAGTGAACGGGAGAAACTGCAGATTGAGAAAGATAGAACGGTGAGTTTCGTCGGAAAACAGGGATGGTGCCAGATCAAATGTATTTTTTTCACGATAAGCCAAGCATACTCCTTTTATTGATTTCCCCAAGAGGTTGGTTTAGAGAGAAAGGAAATGGTCTGTTTGGAGGGATCTAATCTGAGCGGCTGATATCTTATCTTTCGGTTATGAACGCTTTTCTTTGTTTAAATATATCAACAACTGACTCAATTCATATGGCGCCAAAAATGAGCTAGCGTCTGACTACTCATATCTGGCCTCAGCAATCACTTACACACCATGGTCACTCTACAAGTACATGTGTTCGTCGCTCCAACGGTAGCATTTGGTCAGTACATGCGCGTCTAAGGGACATGGGTTGTAAGTAAAACACATTTCCGTATAAATATCATTTGAAACAAAATATCCGCGTGTTTCCATGGCGAGCTGTCAGAAATGAAGATTGACAATGATAAAACAAATAGTTTACATTGAAGTTTGCTTTCTTCTGGCGTTACCTTCTAGTTGCGTGAACTGTCAACGGTGAAGTCCTCTCTGGAAAATGCTGAGAAGCGGGCAGCCGGCTATCGAGAGGAACTGGCGACGATTCGAGAATCTCTGCGACGTGCTGAACTGGAAAAAGAGGTGTTGAATCAAGAAAAATGTGATGCCCTTGGAACAGTGACACGTGTGCAGACAAGGATAGATGAACTGGAACAAAAAATCTATCAGGTAAGTGGCTCGGGGTTTATCACACTGCGGCTGAAAGCCAGAGCATTAGGAGGAATCAAGAACGTGATAAGATGCAATAAATCAAAGACTCACACACGAGCGTCATAATCACTTTGAGGAATAAATGGGAGAGTTTTCGTAAATTCCATACCTCGTCTGATTATTGTTTTCCCAAACTGCCTTGTTTTTTTAACAAAGATAGTCCGCTTTCATGTACCGGCGAGTCAGGCCTGGTGTCCATGTGCTGAACATGCCAAGAGACCTCGTCATGATCGTTGTCCCCAGAATTTTTACTTGCATTACCAAGATTCGAAAATCCCATAACTGCCTAGACAAAGAGCAGTCGCTCAAAAACGGAAAAAATGTCACAAGTCGCATCAACCTTTCATATAAGAGCTGGTTCAGACCAAATTACATGGATTAAATTGTTTACTTGGGAGTGGAGTAACGTTACACCTGGCCTAAATGTGGTCTAATCCTTAATCCTGCACATGGTTGATCAATCTTGGCCGAACCTGTAGTTTATAGGTTCCGGGTCCCATAGACATTCGTGGGATGTGAACTACCAGAGGCCCCAGTATGGATAAAACAGCCATACAATGCCTCTTTTCTAATAGGTATAAATTGACTTAACAAATCACTCAACATTTCCTCTGGGATTCGTCGCTCACGTGATCACGTTTTCGCGGATACACTACTTATCAGTGTACCAGTAGTTCAATTTAACGCAAAAAATGGTCTTTATCAGAGACAAAATTCAATTGGACTAAGGATCAGGCAGATTATCTCCAAAAGTTTCGCTTGGGTGAAAACGTGAAACAAGAGGAAAAGTGGTCCGGATTTCTGAGAAATGTGAATCATAACACTGTAAACTTACTGATGGTGTATGCAGAAGCTTTTGGAGTGATTCGCACTTCTTTGGCCCGTGGAACGCACACATCCACGTCAATCTTACTTTACGCGACTTGGGAGTCTGTCCAACGTAATTTTCTCAAACTAATCTGCTTACTAAATAATTTCGATATGGTTCTTCCTCAATACATATCGCTGTATCAATCGTCCATGGGCGAGCGAGCTCGATTTTCAATGGCGGCCCGTTTACTGGACACATGTGCGTAGCTGAGATGAAATAAACGGTTTGGATAAAGCGGAATGTGTTACTTCACGCAAACTGCCAATGCGAATGTAAACTCGAGGCAATGAGATGAAAGGCCAACCGATAGCCATCAACCGGTTACTGGATGACGACTCTCTGCTTGGTGTCTTTGCACATAGGCAACTGGTCCATACGTCGATTCCACCTAAGGGCTACCTCACTTCACAAGACATATCGCCGTATCAATCATCCATGGGGGACGCACATACCCCGGTCGTTTAGGTAGAATGAATAATAAGGTGCTACACTCAAGGGTATCAGACGCTATCATTTTGTAGTTTACTCACGAAGTGGAGTGTTTCGATTAGAAGGGGGATAAAACTTATTTTAGACATGCTGGTGATCGGTAAGCACCCTGCGTAGATAGGCGTACTCACAAGCTGTCCATGTAGGCGTGTATGGTCATACCTAGCATATTAGGGCAGTTTAGAGTTGAGGTTTGCTGTACCAGAAAGCTCCTCAGGTCTGTAAAGAACGCTCACCGGGCTACTGCGTCAGCTGTAAGCTTTTTTCAACAAAGGCTTAACATGAACGCAACACATCCGGATAATTTTGGCGTGACGAGTCTTAGCTATTGGTTCAGTGATTCTAACTCTTTACTCGGTTCTGCATCTCTGGGGGAACTGAACATCTAAGTGGACTCTGTTATTTTCCGGTGGTACCATTAAACAGAAGTTTCAAGATGGCAATCCTACATGTCAAGGTAGATTTACGATATACTACAAACTATCGATACGGCGGCCTTGAAGCTACTCAAACACAAGATTATACTTCATCCTTTAGCGGCACTTCGTGGGTGGTTGTTAATTTCTCCTGCCGGCCAATTCTGGTTTAGAATGC